CTGCCCTGCGCCTTCTGCACCTGCTCTGAGCACCTTCACCTGCGCTCTGGCTCCCAGGGGCTGCAGTCCTGGGCGGAGTGGGCAGGAGACGGGACATGGGAGCAGTGAGAGGCTGGGTGTTTCCTCCCTGGCCCCTCACCGCAGGCTGGCTGTGACCCTCCCTCCACATGGCCACCCCCTCCAGGTTCTGGCGACAGCTCCCTCCTCTGCCCTCCAGCCGCAGGGCTATTCCAGTAGCTGAGCCTCTGTTGCCAGCTTTAGGTCCCTTGTACAGCCCTTCTCTCGTCTCTTCATATCCTGTGTTCAGCTGTGTAAATTGTCCTCCACCACCAATGTTTTTTTTTTTTTTTTTTAATTGAGGAAAGAACACTTAACACGAGATCTGCCCTCTTAACAGATTTCTAGTGTGATGCCGTATTGTTACCCAGACACACACTGCACAGGAGACTCTAGAATTTACTCATCTTGCCTGAAATTTTATGCCTGTGTCAATACCTCTTCATTTCCCCTCCCCCAGTCCCTGGCAGCCACCTTTTTATTCTCTGCTTCTATGAGTTGGACTAGTTTAAACCCCTTGTAGAAGTGAATTATGCCAAATTTGATTCTTCCCTGTTGTCATGTGTGGCAGCATCTCCTTTTTAAAGGCTGAATAATATTCTTTTGTATGCACACACCACATTTTGTCTATACATTCCCCCATTTGTGGGTATTTTTCTTGGCTGTCGTGAATAATGCTGCATTGAACCCAGGAGTGCAGACATCTCTTTGTGACACTGATTGTGATTCGTTTGGTTTTACACTAGAAGTAGAACCTTGTGAGGAACCTCCATACTGTTTTTCACAGTGGCTGTACCAATTTACATTCCTATTAAGAGAGCACAAGGATTTCAATTTCTCTACCTCCTTGCCAACATTTGTTATCTTTTGTCTTTTTTTTTTTTTTGATAGTAGCCATTGTAACAGGTGTAGAGTGATAGCTCACTGTGGTTTGAATTGCATTTCCCTGGTGATTAGTGATGTTGAGCACCTTCTGTGTACCTGTTGATCATTTAAATGTCTTCTTTGGAGAAAGGTCCGTTCAAACCCCTTTTCTACTTTTAATCAGGTTATTGTATTATATGCCACTGAACTAGGCTGTCATCTTTTAAAGCCTTGGTTACCTGTTTGAGTGTCCTGTGTCCTGCTGAGACCCTGACATGTGGTTAGGAGGGTCAACCAGCTCAGAAGGCAGAGCATGACTGAGGCGGCAGGAGGGGCCTATGCCCAGGCTCCCCACCCAGTTCCAGTTGTGGCTTCCTTGGGGGGAGGGGGCTGCGAGAATGAGCTGGAATGCTGCGTTGGCAGGGGGGTTGAGCTCCTTTCCAGGTGAGGCTGTGGGCTTCCTCTTTGCCTTCCAGGTAACCCCTCTGCATCTTGTGTTGTAGGAAAACCTGTTTGGACTGGAAGCCCATATTCTGGGCACACGTATTGGGTGCCCAGATGGTCCTGAATTTACAAAAGCCCACCACACTGACAGGACCTGCAGACACATGGATAAATATTTTGCCTTTCTTCTTAGGCAGTATTTGAGTCTTTCAAATTTAATTGCTGTCAAAGGCAGGATGCTTACCACCCCTGAGGCAGAGCGAATAGTGTGGGCCTCCAGCCGGGCTGCCGGGCTGCTCCCCTGGCCCCTGACGGCCCCTGCATTGCCCCTTCTTCTGCTTCTTGCTCTGGCCCAGAGTCCAGTGGCCTCTGCCCTCATTGGCTGGGAGGGCTTTGAGTGCAAGAGGCTAAAGGATCTGTCTGCAGCTCACCTGGAACCTGTGGTGACTTGTTAAGTGTGTTGAGGTTGAGAGCAAAAAAAACAGGTACTTTTCTCAGACACGATTGACAGGCATCCTAGAGGCTATCGAGAGTGGAATCCAGTTTTGTACTCCAAAGATAGGTCCAGGGACTGTTTTGTTCCATCCTGAAATCATTGCACAGAGGGATGCTGCTAGTTTGTATGGCACTTTTAAAAAAATTATATAAGGCAGCCCTTCTCCTAAAAGCAGCCTCCCACACCCCACCATAGTGCAAGGCTTGGCAAGCAGAGCAGTGCTAAATTTCAGCACCCAATTATCCCCAGGAGGGGCCCTTGTGCAGGGTACAACATGCCCAACTGTACATGTCCAAGGCAGTTGCTGATGTATTTTTGTTACTATTTCTACTCTTTATGTCTTCCTCTTCTTTTTCTTTTCTACACTCTCCTCCCCCCACACCAGACCATTGCCCTTGGATTACATTTGCCGCGTACATGAGACACTGTCTTGTGATCATACGTGGTTTTCTTCTACCTCAGTGTGATTGTTAAGTCAGCCAGGGTAGAGGTCTTTGCTACAGTCTCCTAGAGATCTGCGGCAATCACCTCCTCTTATTCACTACGTCCTAGCTGGCCTCGGTTATTTTAAATCCTTGCATGTAATGAAAGCAGGTGGATTCTTTGCCCACGGCGGTCTTGGCCAAGGGCACCTCATATTTCTCAAGCCTTTCTTCCAAGCACCTGGTGTTGTGTTTACCTTGTGCGGGAAGATCAAGAAGAATGAATAAGACAACATCCCTGCCCTTGAGAAACTCACAATCGAGTAGGGGAAAGCGAAGTGCGTAGACGGATAAATCACAGCCCCTCCATGTGTCCCCTGCAGAGGGGGAAGCTCAGGGAGCAAGGAGGAGAACGGAGCAGCCCCAAGTGCATGCTGCTGTTGGACGCTCCCAGGTGCCCATGAGGAGCTGCCCTGGAGCCGCCTTATAGGACGTGTACATGAGGACAAGACCAAACACCAGTGTTCAGGGGAAGGCAGCAGGGAGGACAGGTGAGGTGGCGAGATGGGTCACATCACAGGTGGTGGGAAGGTTTTTCCAGCTGGATCCTAGGGTGTGTGGAGGTTGGGGCCCAATGGGAGGCTGGGGGTTTATGCCTGAGGAGTGTGGGGTTCATCCTGCATGCAGTAGAGGCCACCAGAGGCCTTTGAGCAGGGATGGTGTGGTTGCTTTTCCTTTGTGGAATACACTTCGAGTGGGAGGCTGTGGCATTAAAAGGTGATGTAATCTTTATGTGTGTGTATATATATATATATAACAGCAGAATGAGATACAATTCTTATTACACACATAGAGCACAATTTTTCATATCTCTGGTTGTCTACATAGTATATTCTAGGTGATGTTATCTTAAGAGACTACCATCCTATATGCACCAGGCTTTGACTGAAACGTTATGCCACACGTGGCTATACCAGGACAACTACTATGTGGAAGTGAGAACAGAGGAGAGACTACACTCTGAAGTACAACAGACAGAATTTGAGACCAGTTGATGTCTCCAAAGGAAGCAGAGGCAGAATGGAGGAGGAGGAGATGTGGGGTCGACACAGTAGTCTGGATGGAGGTGATGCTATTAATGGAAATTTCTGAGAATTTGGAGTGTGCAGGTTTGAGGTGTGGATCTGAGTAGAGGAAGTGGGGACTGGTGGACACCTGTTCCAGAAGTTTAGCAAGTCAAGGAAGGAGGATGGAGGGACACAGGTGTGACAAGGTGTGTACAGGATAAATACCAGAGCACGTGAGAGGCTGCAGGAGTTTGTGGGCTAAGGGGACAGAGGTAGAGGGTTGAGAAACTGGACATAAGCAAGAGAGTGCAAACTACTTTCTAGAACTTTATCTCTTTGGATAGTGTTGTCCTATTAGAGGAATGTCTGCCAATAACTGGCAAGTGGGCGGTTGTCCAGCTATGATTTACAATAAGGCATCAGTTGCATGAGGTACTGTCTAAATTATTGCACCTCACCAATTGCCAGTTTCCTTGCTGACAGTGGGCCAGGGGGTCAAACAATTCAATCAGGTGCCACTGGTTATAAATTGAAAATCAGTGGGGTGCAAAATGGATTACCATCAAAATCCATTCAGGTGCAAAACCAAATTTCAAAAACCCCTAACCTTTAAAAAACACCCCTTTCCTGATTATTCACAATGCCCTGACATTGAGTTTTAATATCCTTCAGATAAGCAAACGTCAATAGAAATGCTTGCAGGAGACCAAAAGTAACAAGGGAAAACTTCCCAGTTGGGCTTTCCTTTTGGAATTTGCAAACATGGTGGATTTTTGAATGAATGCATTGACAGTTCTTTAGATTCCCTGAAGTCCAAGTTCTCAAACTTCAGCATGCAACAGAATTGTCTGGAGGGCTTAAAAAGATTCATCCAGGTTTTATTTGGAGTTTCTGATTCAGTAGATTTGGAGTTGGGTCTCAGAAGTTGCATTTTTAGAAGCTCTTAGAGGATACTACTGCTACTGGACCTGGGACCACATTTTGCGAATCTCTGCCCTAAGATATGGGAACATTTTGATCATTTGACCAGCAAATCATGCTTTGGTTCATAACCATTTGTCAGAAAGTGGACCAGATGTTGAGTCTAAGGGCCCATAGATTTGTTCAAGAAACCTGAGAAAGGACTGATTCCAAGAGATACCGATTGATTTGAGTGCTTTGTTGGTCAGAGGTGAGGTTGAAAAGGAAGGAGGTAGAAAAGGGGAGAAGCCCCCTTAGCTCACTGTTCCAGAAGACTGTGTACCAACAGCACAAATAACACCACTGAGGCAGAGGCCTGGTCCCTGTGTGGAATCTGTTCCTGGCTTTCAGTGCTGATCTTCCTCTTTGGAAGGAAAGAGTTTGGTTAGACCAACCTTCCTCTGGGTGTTGTTTTTTAACAACTAGCTTCGAGCAGCCTATAGTCTGGCTCTTCCCACCTCTGCTTTGACCCCAGAGATACATTTTTCTGTCTAAATCAATGCTGTTTGATTGTGGTTACACTCTCTTGCTGTTTTTGAGTCCAGTTATCACTTCGTATAGACTCTAGGTATCACGGGGCACAATATAAAACAAATCTCTTTCTCCAGGATGGAAAAAAAATGGATCCCAGAACTGCTCCGGAAGTGGTTGCTGCCTCATTAACATTTGGCTTCCGTCTCTCTTTTCCAGGAGAAATTGAGCGCTGCACGTACATCAAGTACCACTATTCCTCAGCAACCATCCCCAGGAACCTCACTTTCAACATCACCAAGACCATCCGTCAGGACGAGTGGCATGCCCTGCGTAAGTACACCTGTGTCTTTGCCTGTGACTGTGCTGTGAGGTCAGTTTTGGAGGGATTAAAAGACTGGAGGGACCTCCTTCTGGGATCTGTGGATAGTCTCAGGTCATTGTGGGGGTCCTTATGTGCAGATATCTAGAGGTCAAAATTGCCTCAATTGGTTTTGATTGCATTTGAAATTTGGGGGTTTGTTTCTAAAATTAAGAAAAAAAACAAACCAAACCAAAAGCAAATCACTAGCAGTTAGACGGTGTCCTTATGTCCCTGTCCTGGTAGGCATCTAGGATCTCACCTACCTGACTGAACATGCTCTTGGGATTTCACTCCAGCATGTCTCCACGTTGCTTGGAACATCATTGTGGCAACCTGCTAGTCCCTTGTGTCATCATTTGTAAAGAGTGAGAGTGGCTAGTGGATGCGGGGATTTGCACCTGGGTAGGGTCACTGAGAGGTAGACCTGGCCTCATAAATTTCTGTCACATCCCTATTTTGAATGATAGACATTGGGCCTGGCTCACCTGTGATTGCTCAGCATAGGTCAGATTATCCGTGTCCATTGGTTAGGGAATTTCTTTGCCAGAGATACCCAGAGACTTAAATTACAGTGAGAGGCTGATGGCTGACTTAATGAGTAAACAGAGCTAGTTGGCTATTTTTACTCTTCTGCTCCATGAGGATCTGCTGCCTGTCTGTGGCAGGAGAGTTCTCCCTTGTCGCTGGCACATCTCTTCATGCCAACCCCTTCATCCTGTGAGTAGGCACTGTGCCACCTCTGTTCCATTTGTTAGACATTCCTATTCCATTTGTTTTTTTCTCACCCAAGGCCCTTAACCAAGGTTAAAGTTGAGATTGCATTTTTCATGAGAAGGTGCATTCTTTTATTGTTTCCTTGTATTAAGGATCGCTTAATTGATGAGATTTGAAGAAGGCAGCTCTTCAGGCCAAAGCATCTTTCTTCTCTTTATTGTTGTTTAGGTATCATTTGTGTGTGGGGGTGTGGGGGTCACCAGTGTTTGGTTTAACTTGGGGATGGAGAGTGGGGAGGTGGGAGAGATAAATAAAGCTAAAACAGAATGATCACTCATTAGTCTCAGGAAAAAATTGGGTGTCCAGATGATTGTTATTCAATGCTTCTGGCCTGAAATGACAGAGCAGTGCCAGCAGATGGGACAGCTTTACTGTTGCTCCTATGAGATATAGCTATTAGGAGGGACACTAACCAGCATGTGGGGACACAGAGCTAATGTTCAAAGAGCATTCCCATGTGCTAGACATTGAGCTAAGCATGCCACATACTTATTTCATTTTAATGTGAGATTTGCCTTAGAAAGTTTAGTAATTAGGGGTGTTAATTTCTTTTTGGAGGTAGACCTGTAAGCACACCCAAATAGAAATAATATAATAGTTGCTTATTTCCCATAATGCATTGGTCTAGTATAGCCACTTAATAGGATTCAAAATGCAATGTTCAAGAGACATAAGTCCTGATGATTAACCATCTAAAAATAACAGATTATGGTGTTCACAAGAGGATTCAGAATTTCAGAAGGAAGAAGTTGTTGACACTGTGGTTTCAATTCAAATGAACTCAGTTTAACCAGGGTTATGGAGTTTCTCTATGTACCAGGCACATAGTGGATAGCCAAGCCACAGGGAGCTCTTTTAAGAAGCTTGAGTCGGGGGCAGAGAAGTGGGGGGTTGGAGAGAAACATTCACAAAGCAAATAATTACAAGGCAATGAGATAATTACAATATAGTAGAATTGCTTCAAGCAATTAAGATAGTTTGTGGAATTTTTTTTTCAGCAAGAGGTAGAATTATTTCAGTGTAGATTTCACAAATAAACTTCAAGGGAAACCTGGTAGAACTCTTTTGGCTGTATACACTGTAGATGCCTGGAATTCAGAGAGGTTACCCATGGAGGCATCACTGGGAACATGTCACATGGCATCAGCAAAGACAGAGAGCTTTGTGGGGTCCTCTTTGTGTCTCCAGGGTGCTCATTCTCCAGCTAGAGTGCTGTTGGGTTCTGAAAAGTCTAGTGTGCGGCTTATGCTGCGAATTGAGGTGCTAACATCTATTTTTAACTGATAAAAGCTATGTCAACCATTGATACATGTCAAGGTCTCCGGCACATGGCGCCGGGTGAAGCCCATGCTCCCCTTTGGTGAGGGATTCATCTGCTTCTTTGACAAAGTTGCCCAACAGGTTGTTAACCAGGCAGAGAACATTTGCTGTGTTTGACATCGATAACAGCTATTTTTAGCCAGAGGGCAGGTGAGCATCTGTCACAGTTGAAGTTGGTACCAAGCATAATTAGGAATGCTTGAATGATAGCGAAGCTCAGTGTGTATCCATGTTAGAATTCAAAGGTCAAGCAGTGATGACATGAGGTGGGAAATGGGCACAGAAGCTGGCTTTGAAATAAAGTGGAAGCAATTAAAAATTAGCAAACTCCTATGGTCAAGTATTGAAGATGAAAAGAAAACTGATTTCTTTATGTGTTTTGAGAGTCCTGTGCTCTTTAAGTGGGATCAAATAAATTCATTTGATACTAGGTTGGTAATATCTTACATTCTATAATTTTTCTCAGTAGATAATGTTTGCCCAAGGAAGGAAATTTGAGGGTTGTTGGTTTTTTGTTTGTTTGTTTTCTTGTGAAACAACTTCTATATGGCAAATGTTTGGACTTTGGTTAACCTTGGTTGCATAATTTTTTATCAGGAATTTGCATATAGTCTGACCACTATTGTAGAAAAAAACATTTTTAGATAGGAAAAAGCACATTTGGTTTTGAACTATGTTAAAATTTTTGAAAAGTTAACCCCACCACTTGCAGTCTCAACTGCTGCATTCAATCACCTCATGCTCAGGCGAAGACAAGGTGAGAGAATAAAATGATCTGTAGGCCACTAGGCTTACAAATCCAAGTGTGCAGAATTAAACCCATGGGAACCAAAGGTCTGAGGATCAGAGCTGTGCACCTGTTGGGGAGGGTGGGAGCGGGAAGGGGGTGGTCTTTGTGTCCGAGGTTCAGATGCTGAGTTCTCTGGGTGAGCTGGTGACCAGGGGTTCTGACCCTGGCTGGGACGGGGATTGCTGCTGAGGTACCATGGGGGCCTGTTTGTCCTTCCTCCCTGGGAGAAGCAGAGTGTCCAGATGTGAGATCCATGTCCTCATCCGCCCAGGCCTGGCTATTCACTGCTGCCCTCCTTTAGTCCTGGTGACACAGGTGTGCAGCAGGGATGGGTGGGTGCCTCTGTGGGGGGCTGCAGATGCTCTGATCTCCTTGCCCAGATCTTCCTAACATCTCCAGGGCCAGAGCAGGACAGGAGAGTATCACTGGCCAGTTAGGAGGGGACAGGAAGCCTCAGGAGGTGAACTTGGCAGACACCACACTTTGGCTGGGTTGTTGATTTGCTTCGAATGAGGAAGACTGGTCACCAGGGCAGGGAAGCTGGCTGGCCCTGCAGTGGCAGTGGAAGTGACGCTGCTTCTCCTCTCACTAGCTGTGTCCCCACAGGCTTCTCATAACCTATGGTTCAGTTTGAGGTAGCAGCCCTTGTTTGGAGAATTCTATGTCCTCGAGCAACCCCAAGAGCCCTGGAGGCCATTCCAAGTGGCTCTGCCTTTGTTCAGGAAGCTGCCACAGCATCCTTTGGCCTGGACACTGGATCAGTGACAGGGCAAGTGGGAGAGGGGAGCCTGGGTGGCCTGTGACAGGGACTGGGCAGCTGTGGTGGGCTGACAGGGCCACTGCGACAGAGCCTGTCTGAGGCTGCAGGGCATACACCTGCTCTCAGGTGTGAGGAGGGTGGCTCTTCCTGCCCTGATCTGATCTGCTTGGCAGGGACACAGAGGGCAGCTGTAACTAAGGATCCCTGGTCAGAGCCCTGGACTCAGTCACCATGCTGTGAGCTCAGGGTTCTCACTCTGCCTGGTGAGGGCAAGATGGAGGTTTTAGCCCGCAGCTGATAGTCCCTGGCCATGAGAATCCAGAACCTGGGGCTCCACTTTACTGCGGTCAGAGCTTCTCCCTTATCTTTTGAGAAGCTGCAAATAAAGGATCCTGGAAGTTCTTGTTTTTTTTTTTTTTAAGTCTCTATCTGTCAGAATTGAGGGTTCAACAAATTAGATTGGGTGGTCACAGGGCACCTTTCCAGCTGGCTTGGGACTGGAGGGAGGGACGGGGAGAGAGAGGTGTGCTTTCCTCTCGTGACTTCCCTGGTCCCAGCCTGCAACCACACCCAGCGCAGGCTCACAGGGCAGACCTGCAGTGGTGCCTCAGGTATGCCCAGCAGGAAACAGAACCAAGCAGAGCAGGTGCCTCCCTCTACAGTAAGGGAGTGGAGAGTCCTGCCCCTTTGTCCTGTTACCAGTGGGGCAGAGGATGTCAGTACCAAGGAGTCATCTTGAAGCTGGGTTAAAGGAGCATGGGAAAGTCTAGCTTGGCCAGAAAAAGGAGGAGCAGAAATTGGAGGGGGTGGGGTGGTGGAAATGGAGACTTTGTGGATGACCAAGCACATTTGAGTGGACCCACCACTAAGAGGGATAAGAAATCACAATCCAGAACCATCTTGCCTGCTTAGACACCTGAGTGACTTCTCAGTTCCCTGAAGTTCTTCATCTCTCACTCTTGCCTGCAGGTTAGCTCTGTCTTGAGGGCCCAGCACCCACCCAGGCTGGTGTGTGGTAAGAAGCCTGCACATTTGGCCTCTGCAGTGCAGATGGTGGGGCGGACTCTTATCCTGCTTGGCCAAACCCTAATCATTCCCTTAATCTGTCCTCTCCTATGTCTGTTTCCTTATCCTTTCCTTTTTTTCAGAGTTAAAGGGTCTTGCTCTGAACCCCAGTCTCTCTCTAGCTGCCCTAGGTCCTGCCCATCCCTTGGGCCCCAGGGGCTCCTTGTCCTACCCCACGGGCATCAGCCTTCTGGCCTTGTGGTTATGTTGTTTCTTTGCCTAATAGCACAGCCTTTCCTTTCCCAGGGAACTAACTCGGC